TGCTCCTGGTGACGTACGTCGTTGTTGTCCTGCAGAAGCTTGTGGTGCTTCAGCGGACGCTGCCGTCGGCCTGTGCAGGTCGGCTGCAGGTCGAAGGTGGAGACTGGTGCCGTTGGTGTGGTCGATCAGCTGATTCGTCCAGCTCGTCATGTCTTCGTGTATTTGGGCCACCTTTTGGCGTGTGTACTCATCAGTATCCCGAGAACGTTGTGAGTACCGATCAAGTCGTTGCTCGTAGGCTCGGATGCGGGCGCCTTGTGCCTCCAGCTCGCTTTCCAGACGTGCGAGGTGCTCCTCAACACGTACCTTCTCAGTATCTCTCTCACGACTAACCTGGGAGAGCTCCAACTGCGTGTGGTCCGCCGCCTTCTCAACCTCCTGCAACCTGTCAGTGAGGCGGGCGAAATCGTAAACCGTGGGAGGAGAATCCAGCTGGCCAGTCTGGGCTCGTCCGACACGCAACTCTGCCAGGGCGTCCTGTACACCAGGAAAACGCTGCTCGATTTGAGAGATCCGGTTAGCGAGTGGCTGCACGACAGCGTTGGTCGCATCAAGCCTTTGAGTGATGACTCTCTCAGTACGCTGCAACATGTCGATCAGGTTCGACGAGTTGGTGTGTGCTTCGTCGCGAAGCGTCGCCGTAGTGTGGTCTATGTGGGATCGAAGATCATTGATCTGAGACTGAACGTCGCCAAGGTCGGTGGCCTCGGCTGGTGTTGGTCGGTTGCGGAGCTGGTCGTGGGTCTCATCGTGTAGGATCCTGACTGCTGAAACGCCTGTGTCGCGTACGAGCACAAGCTGTTGCTCCATCTGCGCGAGGTAGTTGCGCAGGTTCTCGACCATCGCCGTTCGTTCACCTGAGTGTGACACCTCACGATCAACCTGGTACTGCAGTTCACCTATGATGCGTCGATCTTCGGCGATCCTGGAATCAATGATCCCTAAGGCGCCGTCAAGATCTTGGCGTATGGCAGCAGCATTGGCAGCGTTCGTCTGAACGCTCTGCAGTAGTCCAGAGTATTGCCTGGACACGAAGGTTTCAACCTGGTCTCTGAGCTCAGCTATTTCACCTGCGGCGGACGTTTCCGCCAGCTGGTCGTCTGAGATGGAGAGGTGGGGAGCATAGGCTTCCCTCTGCCCCCTCTCGCGAGGAGTGCTTGGCCTCTGAGAGGCTGTACGCGGGCTCGGCCTACTCTCGCCGCATGGGCCTGGGGCCCCACGACGGTTGCGCGCGGGCGAGCTGCGACTCAGACCATGTGTGTGGTGTCTCATCCGATGATACCTTGGGATACTGCGTCTGCGGCTGTGCCGCCACTGGTCTACTGAGTTCCTCGAAGGTGGCTACGTGCTCCGCAACAGGAACGGTCGCAGGGTTGGGGGTACCAGCACCTGAGGTCCATCGGCGGTTCGCGCGAAAGCGCCCTGGAGTATCAGGACCAGTGAGGCTTTCGCCTGACGCAGTTGGGATTGCTCCCGACTGAGGAGGAGATGGAGGATCGAAGGTAGGCGTGTGAAACTCCTTCCTTCCTGTTCCTACTCCTTCTCCTGCCCCCCCGCGGGCGGCGCTGCGGTGAAGTTCAGCAGCTAGCCGCGCCTCGGGTCCGTCGGAGCTGGGGGGGGGGGGGGTACCTGGGGCACCAGCACAATCCGCACTAAGGCTCTCCAACTCATCACCGAGCCGTCGCGCCGTCGGAGAGCTCGGACGCGAGGCCCCGATGGGCCCCTTACGGCGCATGCGCCGCTTGGGTTCCATCGAGGCCGCGTGCGAGGTCGCGACGCGGGGTTCGATGAACGGTGAGCTTTAAAGGGCTGATAACCTGTGAATGGGGTCGAAGTACAAGGGTACAGAACCCCTGATCCGTTGGTAGAGGGAAAGAGGGATAGATGGATGTCTTTCCCTCCTGCACGATCAAAGGTATGATCGATCAGTCCCAAGCGTACTTGGGAAGTCCCAATACCTGAGCCCAAACGGCCAGGCCCAGGAGAGGTGAGGATAAGGAGTATTATATGAGGGTATTACACGGGTTCTATTCACACCCCTGCCGATGGCGGGAGGGATGCTGAACGCCCGCCGAATTGAGGGGGAGGAGTGGCTGGCGCCGGAGGCTGGGCGACTGGTGGTGGACCCGCGGGCAGCGAGGTCGCCCCCCCACCTCCCGCGGATCATTGGCCACTGGCACCCGCGGGGGCAGGTCGGCAGGCGCCCTGTGTACGGCAGCTCGGGCCCCTCTCCGACTCCTCGGGTGGAGGAGAGTGGGGTGCTGGAACCCGTCTTGGTCTACGACGCGAAGGGCCGGTCCGGCCGCTCCAGGCGCAGGAGGCTTGGCACTTGCGTGGAGGAGCCAGTGCCGACTGGCCCATCTTGTGTGGGCAGTTGAGCCACGGGGACTTGCTGAGGGGAGTCCTGCGCGCATGCCCCCCGCGCGCAGCCGCGGCTGCGCTAACAGCTGCCCTCAGGCAAGCGGAGGCGGCCACCGAGTCAGGAGGGAGGGCGGCGGGCATTTGTCGCCGGCCAGAGGACGAGGAGAGAAGACGGGAGCTCACGAGCTGGCTCCAGGCCGACGAGAGGCGCCGACAGGAGGCAGTGAGGAGGGGTGAGCGGCACGGCGGCATGCTGCCGGGAGGGCGGGCGGCATGCGGGCGGTAACACTGGGGCCGTCGATTTGAGCTCCCTGTGAGGCCACGAAGCGCTGCACTGGGCGGGTGAAAATACCAAATTAGGCGTGTGGGACGCATGCGGGCGGTCCCATTGGGGGCGTCGGTGGAGCTCCCCATGGGGCCGCGAAGCGTTGTAAATGGTGAGAGAAAATGCCACATTGGGCGTGGGGGGCGCATGCAGACGGCCCCACTGGGGGCTTCGGTGGGGCTCCCTATGTGGCCAAGAGGCGCTGTACTGGACCAGTGAAAATGCCAAATGGGGTGTGGGGGACGCATGCAGGCGGTCCCGCTGGGGGCTTCGGTGGAGCTCCCTGTGGGGGACGCACGCGGGCGGTCCCACTGGGGGCTTCGGTGGAGCACCCTATGAGGCCACGACGCGCTGTACTGGGCGGGCGAAAATGCCAAATTGGGTATGGTAGACGCATGCGGGCGGTCCCATTGGGCGCTTCGGTGGGGCTGACTGTGGGGCCATGGAGCGCTGTACTGGGCGGGTGCCGATGCCAAATCGGGTGTGGGGGACGCATGCGGACGGTCCCACTGGGCGCTTCGGTGGAGTTCCCTATAGGGCCACGGAGCGCTGTACTGGGTGGGTGACAATGCCATGTTGGGTGTGGGGGGCGCATGCGGGCGGTCCCGCTGGGGGCTTCGGTGGGGGTTCCCTATTGGGCCACGAAGCGCTGTACTGGGTGGGCGAAAATGCCAAATTGGATGTGGAGGACGCATGTGGGCGGTCCCACTGGGGGCTTCGGTGGGAGTCCCTATGGGGTCACGAAGCGCTGTACTGGGTGGGTGGAAATGCCTACTTGGGCGTGGGGGACGCATGCGGGCGGTCCCACTGGGGGCTTCGGTGGAGCTCCCTATGGGGCCACGAAGCGCTGTACTGAGTGGGTGAAAATGCCACATTGGGTGTTGGGGACGCATGCGGGCGGTCCTGCTGGGAGCTTTAGTGGAGCTCCCTATGGGGCCACGAAGCGCTGTACTGGGTGGGTGACAATGCCAAGTTGGGTGTGGGGGACGCATGCGGGCGGTCCCAATGGGGGCTTCGGTGGGGCTCCCTATGGGGCCATGTAGCGCTGTACTGGGTGGGTGAAGATGCCAAATTGGATGTGGGGGACGCATGTGGGCGGTCCCACTGGGGGCTTCGGTGGGGCTCCCTTATGTGGTCACGAAGCGCTGTACTGTGTGTGTGTGTGTGTCTGTGGGTGTCTGTGTGTGTTTGTGTGGCTGTGTGTTTTTTTGTGTGTGTGTGTGTTTGTGTGTTTTTTGTTGTGTGTGTGTGTTTGTGTGTTTGTGTGTTTGTGTGTGCGTGTGTGCGTGTGCGTGTGCGTGCGCGTGTGCGTGTGCGTGTGCGCGTGCGCGTGCGCGTGCGTGTGCGTGTGCGTGTGCGTGTGCGTGCGCGTGCGCGTGCGCGTGCGCGTGCGCGTGCGCGTGCGCGTGCGCGTGCGCGTGCGCGTGCGCGTGCGTGCGCGTGCGCGCGCGTGAGTCTGTGTGTGTGTGTGTGTCTGTGTGTGTGTGTGTGTGTGCGTGCGTGCGTGCGTGCGTGCGTGCGTGCGTGCGTGCGTGCGTGCGTGTGGGTGGTGTGGGTGGGTGGGTGGGTGGGTGGGTGGGTGTATAAAAATGCCACATTGGGAATGGGGGGCGCAGGCGGGCGGTCCCACTGGGGGCTTCGGTGGAGCTCCCTACGGGGCCACAGAACGCTGTACTGGGTGGGCGAAAATGCCAAGTTGGGCGTGGGGGACGCATGCGGGCGGTCCCACTGGGGGCTTCGGTGGAGCTCCCTACGGGGCCGCGAAACGCTGTACTGGGTGGGTGAAAATGCCAAGTTGGGTGTGGGGGACGCATGCGGGCGGTCCCGCTGGGGGCTTCGGTGGAGCTCCCTACGGGGCCACGAAACGCTGTGCTGGGTGGGTGAAGCGCATGGAAGAAGGAGGAGGGAGGGGAGGAGGAGGAGGAGGAGGAGGAGGAGGAGGAGGAGGAGGAAAGGAAGGAGGAACGCGGGGCGACGTCTCTTCAAAACGAGGACCCAACACCACAGAATGGTTGGCAAAAAACGACGACCACAGCCTCCCAAACTTGGTACACATCGGCTGATATTTCAGGCGGGTCTCATTGAGACTCCGAACAAGGGGGCGGGGCCACGCATCAAGCTGATAGCCCAGCCACCCTTACGACCCCCCCTCCCAAGGCACACTCGGGGAGGAGGCCGGGAGGGCACGCTAGTCCTCCAAGGCAAAGGGCGCGGAGCCCCAGGGCAGGGTGTGAGGATCAGCGGTGAGAGGGGGAGAGGAAGAGGACCTCAGAGGATGAGGGGGTAAGCAGCGGGCAGGAGTAGGAACGCTATTTTTCGCATCCGCGGCCAATGACCCCAACTGGATGGGGAAACGCACAGGGGATATCGATTGTGACTCCTTCCCCTTTCGGGTGGAGCCAGGAGCCAGGACGAGTGGGACAGAGGCGGAGGAGAAGCGCACACACCCTGGCGAGCCATGAGAGAGGAGGAGGAGGAGGAGGATGAGGATAAGGATGAGGATGATGATGATGACGATGATGACGACGACGATGATGATGATGATGATGATGATGATGCTGATCATGATGATGATGATGATGATGATGATGATGATGATGATGATGATACTGATAATGATAATGCTACTGGTAATGATGATGATGATGATGAAGATGATGATGATGCTGATGATGATGATGATGGTGGTGGTGGTGATGATGATGATGACGATGATGATGATGATGATGATGATGATGATGATGATGCTGATGATGATGATGATAAGGAGGAGGAGGAGGAGGACGAGGAGGAGGAACAGGAAGAGAAGGAGGAGGAAGAAGAAGAGAAAGAGGAGACGGAGTCCCGCAATTTCCGAAGTGAAGGAACTCCTGGAACATGAACATCGAAAGTTACTGAGACTGAGGGATGAAGGTGATGCGGCTGAGAAGAAGGGAGGTGGGCGAGAAGGAAGATCAGTCCGTCCCGCAAGCGCACGGGCATACATGTAATCACCGAAGGCATCGCAACGATGAGATCGCAACACGTCATGCAACAGCAACAGTCGCTCCAACCAGCCTGCCCCCGAAGCGCCGCACTGCACAACAAGTTCCTAACTTGCAGACATGGGGCCCTAATTTCTGACACCGCGTGAACCGTTACATCTTGAATGATCTTCCTTCTGGGAGGTCATAACAAAGCTGTCGACCCCAGCTGTGGTACACACGTCTCGTGGTGGGTTAGGAGTCTGGCTGTGAGGACTCTGAACTGGTCAGAGTCTGGCTGTGAGGACCCTGAGCTGGCCCGCAACAGAAAGAACAGCAATCAGTAATCCAAGAAGTTGCGCCCTCTTGGAGGATTACCTTTCATGTCCGCGCCGTCCGCCACCCCTCCGCCGACGTCCTCTGGCGGAGCCGCTCTCGTTCTAGGGGCATTCCTGGAACCACTCGCGTCACTCATGCGTCGATGCTGCGTCCAACTTCGGTCAGCTTGATTCGAACTGGAGTTGAGCTCGCGCCGAAGTTGATTCACACCACGTATGATCGAACTTCAGTCGAACAGATCCGCTGTGTGGGCCCCCGGGGTGAAGGTCCCCAAAACGAGTACCTGGCAATGCGGCTCTTTCACGGCGTGGGCACCCTAGAGGATCCGGGCCCCATAGCCGGGGCTGTTTTTTGCTGGTGCCTGTTCCGTCGCGGCTCGTTCTGTTGATGGCCCCGCTGCTCGAACGTGCCCCCCGCCCCGCGTCCTCCCCCCCCCCCGAGTCGCAGGAAGCCCAGGGTCGTGGGAGGGCGCTGGTCGTTGTGCCTTGCCTTGTTCGGGACGCTGGGAGGCGTGTAATTGATCGGCCCGCTGACTGTGGAGGATGATCGGCCCGCCCCCAAAGATCACCGGGGCCTGCGCGGGGCACCGCCATCCGCTCACGACTAGCGCTTGGTCTGGCCGAGGACCGAGAAGGGCACCATCACATACGCCAGCGCCGCGAAGGCGCAGCCGAAGACGGCGGAGCTGACAACCACGAATATGATCGCCTGGACCTTGTAGTAGGTGGACAGCATGTTCAAGTTGCTGGTCTCCACCCATCGCACATACATGGGCTCGGTCGGCGCCAGCAGCCCGTACTCCGCCATGGCCTTCGCCCGGGCCTTCTCGTAGTAGCTGCGCCTGGAAGTCGTGAATGCGTCCAGGCCGTCGAAGATCACGGCGCCCGCGTGCGCATCGCTGTCGGCCGCGGAGTCGCACGTGAAGGTGCCCACACCGTCGCAGCAACCGACGCCCGCCGCCCAGAACTCTATGGTCTTCGCGGTCGCGCTGTCTCGGACTGGAGCGACACAGTATCCGCCAACGCGCTGAGGGCACGCTGGAGCGTGGTAGGTCTTAGGGTGTACGTCGGATGTCTCGCAGGGCTTCTATACCACTCAATGACAGGGCCGCCTCCTTCGTGGCATGTGCGCAAGAATGCAGTTCGTCCCTGCGTTCTCGCTGAAGTGTCCCAAAGCCAGCCCCAGGGATGGTTTCAGTACGTATCCCCTTAGACCAACCCAAAGACTGAGGTTCCAAGAGGACCCAAATTGTCCCCGAGAGGCCCAACAAGAGCCATCCAGCAAGGAATGCCGAATTACATCAGAAAAATCCCAGCGTTTGGTTCAAAAAACTGTTCGGCCTAAGATGTGTTCATGCAAGCTGTAGCAGGCCCCACATAACACGAGAGGGCCCAAACGAGCTCCTATGACGGCCCAGTGCCACTTCAAGAGGGTCCCCAGATGGCCAAGACAACCAAATGCCGCCCCCAAGTGGCTCCAAGAAGGCCCCGATATCCGTCCAATCGGTCCCAATATGCTTCTACCAACACTCTTCGGAAGAGCTCCCCGAAACCACCAGGCTGAATACGGCCCCCAGACCGCCAAGAGGGCCCAAGAGTCGTCTCACAAGCCACTGATCGGTCCCTGAGAGGGCCCCAAGCGGCTCCCCAAAGGCAGGAAGCCACTCAAGAAGCCTCCAGCCAAACCGAAACAGATAGAACCACAAACATGCCGCACTGCGACCACGCCGCGATACAGCCGCGTAGTATTTTTCAAACGCCCCAGAGATGGTTCTGCCGAGTCGCTTTCAGCAGAGCTTGGCGGAGCCATCCCGCCCAAGACGGCTCAGGAGAGCCCCTGGATCCTGCGGGGGGCCCGTAGAACCACCGTTCTGCCGGCCCCAAAACGGCAGCGAAAGTCATCCCTGATCCTCGTGGCCCTGCTACGGCCAGCGCGTATGGTCCCCCCTCCAGCGGAGAGCCGAGTCAACCAGTCCTGCGTGTGTCGATGCTGCGCTGGCACGGTGGCCGCCACCGGGCGGCGAGGCTTGCCGCAAGCAGCTGGATATGGTGCCGGACTCCGTGACGTAGCCTGCAGCCTCCTTGGCGCTCACGTAGCTCTCGGTGGTGAAGGCGATCTTGCCCGCGTCGGCCACCGCGGCCGCAGGCTCGGAAGCGACGACGTTGTCGTAGGTGCGAGCGTTGGAGTAGAACCTGATCGATACGTCGGATCGGCGATCGGCGTAAACCGGATCGGCGGACATCGGCAGCCCAGTTAGGAGAAGTCAAATCGACGGAAATCGACTGGCCAGTAAGGCCTCCATTGAGACACCGGAATCCACATCGGAATCCGAAGTCGAGCCGATTCGGAATCGGAATCGATCGAAATCGAATCGGATCTGGTCGGAGTAATGGATAGGAGCGCCGACCTGGGGTAGATTGAGTAAGAGTCGTAGCAGTACAGCCCGAAGAGCGTGCCCATCGCCGTGGCCACGAGCATCGACAGCGCGAGCGGCAGCATCGCGGGGCGCCTCGCGTGGCACAGGGCGCAGACCAGCGTGGCCGCGAAGGCCACACAGGAGAAGGCGCCGCAGACGAGGGGAGCCTGCATGAACGCGCACGCGTAGAGGACCAGCAGGAACATGAAGACCGCGGCGGGGACGAGCCAGGCCACGAGGAAGTCGTTGGACCTCATAGCGGCCGACATGCGGTCGGCAGCGGTCACCTGCTTCTTCCAACCCTCGACATCGGAACCCTGCATCCTCGGGGATACTACGGGAACGAAGAATGACAGAAATGTAAGAACTCGAGGTCCGCGCGGATTTCTCGGATCCGCGCTGGAACCCCCGTCCGACGCCGCCCCTGGCGAGCTCCGCGCGCCCGGGAGTTGGGTCCAGCGGCGATCCGAGAAACCCGCGCGGACCTCTGCGTTTTTAGTTTCTGTCATTCTTAATTCCCCTAGATGCGGCCCTGGGCGCGGGAGGGCGGCGAGGGGAGCGCGCTGGGGCGCCCCCTTGGGGGGAAGGGGGGTACCTTACCGGACGGGCCCTGCCGCGCCGACAAGGCCACCACTGGAGCCGAAGGGCCTCGTGCAGGATGTGAAAGCGGCAGAGGCAGGAGGAGCGGCGGCAGGAGACAGGAGCGGCAGGGGGAGGACACGGGACGAGGAAGACGGCCACGACGACGAGACCACAAAGCACCGACAACGACGACGCGACCGACAGCGACGACGACGACACGAAATACAACGACGGCGACGATGACAACGACGACGACGACGACCCAGGACTCCGATGTCGTCATTCTTCCCCCGGCGCAGACACCGGGACTCTCGAACGCCTCCCTGGACAAGCCGTGCCACCCCGGGCCGTTCTCCACGATCGCCGAGCACGGCCCGTACACCCTGCGCCCACGGTCGACGGGCACCGACGCGCGATCGCAGGGACGCGCGACCCCATGGGCACGCTTCTCTCCGCGCGGGGTCACCCCGCGGGGCTGCCCGCCCCGCCCCCACGGGGGCTGCGGCCGAGGCCTCTGGACAAGCGAGGCCGTGGACACGGACACTACGTCTCCCGCCCACGGATCGATTCCCTGACGGCGTTAGGGGCCCACGGCTCGGCCTCCCCGGGCAAAACGAGATCGGGAGAAAAACGGGCCCGACGTGGGAGAGGCCCGGGGATGACCCCCGACGACGACGACGACGACGACGACCACCACCACCACGACGACGACGACGACGACGACGACCACCACCACCACGACGACGACGACGACGACGACGACGACGACGACGACGACGCCGACACAACGACCGACGACGAGGGCGACAACGACGACGACCGCCCACCGGAATCCACCCCCCGACCTGTCCTGGAGCGCGCTCCAACCGACACCTCAAGGCGGCTTCAGCCGAGGCCACGAAAGCTCTCTCCCCCGCCCCTGCAGGGCCGAAGAGGAGGACCCCGGAGGAGGAGGAGGAGGAGGAGTAGGAGGAGGAGGAGGAGGAGGGAGGAGGAGGAGGAGGAGGAGGAGGAGGAGGAGACGGCCACAGTGACGCTGGGCGGACCACCAGCAGAAAGAAGAGGAGCAAGGCGAAGACCGACGACGACGACAGAAGACGACGACGACAAAAAAAAAACCCTCAGGAGGAGTCCGCGGGCCAGTCCCAGAGCTCATCGAGGCCAGCTCTCGGATCTGAGCCTGACCGCGGTGGCGAGAATCTTCAAAACCCCGCAAACGACGACGAGGGTGTCACGAACGGCGGCGGCGGCGACGTAGACGAAGGCGTCGAGACGACTACGACTACCACGGCCACGTCGACTGGCAGCGGCAACGGCAGCGGCGAAGACGACGCCGACGACGCCGACCAAGAGGTCACGACTGCGACCATCTTGCGAACATGTGACTTGGCAAGCTACGTTGACCTTTATTTGTTCCTCCCCATCCCTTGTACCTTCCCTCTGAATGCATTTGTCAGCCCCGTTTTGGGAAAGCTTCCTTTAACTCGAATGCATGAAGGAATCACTTAGCGTAGAGCGCCTATCGCACATGTGAATAAACCTCCGACCAGGGCGCGTGAGAGTAAATTGCGACGCAGTGTCAAGCGGGAGCCGTTGTCGTCGCAGTAGGGCCCTCGCCAACTCGATTGACTTGCGCGATGTTGTGGTCTTCTCTGGCCAGGGCGTCTCGGAATAAATTGCGAGGGTGTATCAAGCGGGAGCCGTAATCGTCGTAGTGGGACCTTCGCCAACTTGTCTGAATTGCCTGAGTTTGGGGGCCTTTCTGGCCATGGCGTCTCGGAGTAACTTGAGAAGAGGTATCGAGCGGGAGCCGTGGTCGACGTAGGTGGGCCATCGCCAACTTGACAACATTCCGAGGATGTCACGGGCACCTGCGCCGTTTCTGAATTTGGGCCCATGCTGTAAGAGCATCTCGGAGTAAATTGTGAGGATGTGTCGAGCGAGAGCCGTGGTCGTCGCAGTTGGGCTTTCGCCAATCCCACCAGCCCTTTGGGCGTGAGTGGTTTAGAGAGCTTTCTCTGTTCTCAAACCCCCAACCCCCCTTCCTCCCCTTCGGGGAGAGGTTTACCCCTCCCCCTACCCCCTCCCCTGGACCCGGAGAGGGCGGGCCGAGTGGTGCCAAGGGGGTCTTTTTCGACTCCTGGGAGGGCCCAAACACGACGACCCTCACGAGGATTCTGGCCCCGAGGGGGGGGGCCGTTTGGCGCCTCAACTCGTCTGTGAAGCCAAAAACAATGATTTTACTACGGTTTTGGCCCCTTTTTGGCCTTCTGAGGGGGCCGCGCTCCTCTTCCTTCATAGCAAAATCATTGCTTTTACGAAGGTTTTGGCGTCATTTTCTCCTTCTCAGGGAGCACCGCTCCTTTGCGCTTCTGAGGAGGTCGCACGCGGCCCCAAGATGACCCCAAGAGGCCCCCAGGAGGCTTCCAAGAGGCCTCCAAGAGGCCCCCAAGAGGCCCCCTAGAGGCCCCAAGAGGTCACCAAGAAGCTCCCAAGAGGCCCCCAAGAGGCCCCCAAGAGGCCCCAAGAGGCCCCAAGAGGCCCCCAAGAGGCCCCCAAGAGGCCCCCCAAGAGGCCCCCAAGAGGCCCCAAGAGGCTCCAAGAGGCCCCCAAGAGGCCCCACGAGGAGCCCGAACGACTCACACCAGGACGAGGGGCCCGAACGACTCACACCACGAAGAGCCCGAACGACTCACACCACAAGGAGGGGCCCGAACGACTCACACCAGGACGAGGCGCCCGAACGACTCACACCACGAGGAGCCCGAACGACTCACACCACGACGCGGGCCCCGAACGACTCACACCACGAGGAGCCCGAACGAGTCACACCAGGAGGAGGGGCCCGAACGACTCACACCAGGACGAGGGGCCCGAACAACTCACACCACGAGAAGCCCGAACGACTCACACCAGGACGAAGAGCCCGAACGACTCACACCACGAAGAGCCCGAACGACTCACACCAGGAAGAAGGGCCCGAACGACTCACACCAGGACGAGAAACCCCAAACGACTCAAATCACGAGGAGCGCTTTCTCTCCCTCCTCCTCCGCCTCGTCCTTCTCCCGCTCCCCCCACAAGGAGGATGTACAAGGAGGCGGGAGGAAGGAGGAACAGGGGAGATATGCGGGGCCAAGCGGACACACGCCTGAAAAACACGACTGTCGGCATGCTTCGCAAGAGTTGCTGCTGTGAGATGGGCTGGTGGGGATACGCGAAGCGTAAAGAATTTGACCACATTGCGAGGAGCTCTCGGGCAAAAATGCCAATGCTGATTTCTGGGGCCTCTCTGACCAGGAAGATGAACGAGTATTGAAAATACTTCTGGGCAAATCGACAGGATTTACTAGTATTGAACGGAGGCCGCTGTCTTCGCAGCCGGGCCTGTAAGGGCCGAGACTGGGACCCGAGCGCTCGCGCTCGAGCGGGAGCTTCGCTTCAGAGGAAGTGTAGCCCGCGTCGAGACGAGATCGCCCAGAACCATTTCCATATATCAGCAACCCAGAATCTCCAGAAGCGGGCATTCGACTACGACGTCTGACGGCGGCGACGGCGGTGTCGTTCCCTAGAGGCGTATGGAGCTCCCCTAAAGCCTCTGGAAGCCTCTGGAGGGAGGCCGAAGGGCCAGAAATGTTATTGTTTTCGTTTTTTGGCCAAGCTGTTACTGCCCGGTTCGAGCAGCTCGACATGAATGGCGCAAATTTCCAAACTGATGGGCCGAGGACTCCACGCTGCACCAACTGACCCAGGAGGGGAAGAAGAGGCGCAGGACTGCCGACGAAAACGTGAACGGGAAAGTCCGTCCACGGTGAAAAGATAAATAGCCCGACACGCCACAGAGCCAGATCCTCGATCCTCGATAGTCGAACCTTCAAAGCTGCGAAGCTCGATCCCCGAGGCCCTCGAAGAGCTGGATCCTCGATCTTCGAGATCGGTCCTCGAGGCTCGATCCTCGGGGCTGGATCCTCAAAGCTCACCCTTCGAAGCTCAATCTCCGAACCTCGAAGACGGCGACGGCGACGGCGACGGCCACGTCGACGACGGAAAGCGGGGACGGCGACGGCGACGACGACCGACGACGGCGGCGACAGCGTGACGACGATGACTACCACGGCGACGGCGGCGGCGTTGACGACGACGACGATTTACGTTGCTCTCCTCCTCCGGAGGCCTCCAGGCGCATCCAGATAAGGCCCCTGGAGGCCTCCAGAGGCTACTGAAGGCTCGAAAGAAACCAGAAAGCTCTTAAACCCTCGGCCATTTTCAAAACTTTGAAAAACACTACCATCACCTAGATCGGAAACATCTTCCCTCGGTGGGAAGCGACTTCGGATATTGGTAGTGGTGGTAAAACTGGGTAACAATGGTTCTCCTAGCGAAGGATGAGAGCAGAGGGGAAAGCATGTCGGCCCTGTGTGCGGGGGCTCATGCGTTGAAATCCCATTGCCTCCCTGGGTCAGATCTCGACAATCAAATCAAAGAAACCAAACGGTACCGATACCGCTGCTCCCAGCACATCTCCTGTTGTTCGCTCCGATAAGACATTCGGGGCGAATCAAGTGATTCCGACGGCGGCCTCCCAGGAGGCCCCACGAGGTGAACACGACGGAAACAGTAGCGCTATCAGCGCCTCCTCCTCCTCTGACGAGTCTCGACGCCCGACACTCGTCGACCGCGACGGCGACGGCGACGAGCAAGCGCGGCATCCGCGCCCCTCGCGGGCGGCCCAGCGCGGTCGGGGAGGCCGTCGCCGTCGCCGTCGCCGCTTTTTAACGTCGCCGTCGCCGTAGCCGCCGCCGTCTTTGAGGTTCGGAGATCAAGCTTCGAAGGGCGAGCTCCGAGGATCCAGCCTCGAGGATCTGCGAAGCTCGACGCCCCACGCTCGTCGGCCGCGACGGCGCCGGCGGCGAGAAAGCAAGCGAGGGCCAACAAGAAGCGGGGTCCAGACCAGGGGAGGAACCATCGCCCACACATCGCAAAGGCCCCCCCACAGCAGATCTGCAGATTCCTGAGCGGGGTGGGCCATCGGGGCCCTATCGGCGATGAATGGGCGACTGGGGGGGGC